AGCGAGATGCAAATGGTTGCCGAGATCTCGTCGTCAGCGAGACGCAAATGGTTGCCGAGATCTCGTCGTCAGCGAGACGCAAATGGTTGCCGAGATCTCATCGTCAGCGAGACGCAAATGGTTGCCGAGATATCATCGTCAGCGAGACGCAAATGGTTGCCGAGATCTCATCGTCAGCGAGACGCAAATGGTTGCCGAGATCTCATCGTCAGCGAGACGCAAATGGTTGCCGAGATCTCGTTGATGGCGAAAGTCACGATAGAAATGTACTTGCTCAAGTCATCGCGTCCACTATTGTCCTGATCTATATAACCATTGTATTTGAAACAGTAGACGCGAGAATAAAATACTCTTTGAGGTACAAACTAAATTTAGTGTCTGTCTGTCTGCTCCGTTCGCTCCCGGCGGCCGTGTCCGATGTACAATATATTAAGCACTGCCTTTCTTCAGCCACTGGGTTACCGGTGCATTCTTCTAAGTAAATTATTTTGCTGGTGGTAAATCCGCTGTATTTTGATATCAAAGGCACACTGTGATATCGTTAATGTACTAGAGCCTGTAAAATATATAGAATATAACACGTTTAACAAATATATATTTCTAGTTTCCACTTTCATTGTATCTTGCCGTTTTCAATTACATATAAAAAATACATTAAAAAAATTCATTACTGGGTGCTATTAAATTACACATTCCGATACTCTCTATACAACTTTTGGGAAAAAGTTCAAAAATGTTAACATTCGAATAACTTGTACAGACTCGTCAAATCTACTTATAAGCGTTGCGCGAGTGAGGGCGCTGTAGATAGACAAACATTTTACTGTAATTGAATTGTATGCACCAGAACTTGCTGTGTTAGAATAAATCGTATTTGACCAAACATGCTTGGGCGCATAAAGGGGCTGGATCCATCAATTAGTGTTTCTGTAACGACTAATTAGAATTTGAGCCAATAGACGTCATCTTATGCCACGTCATAACTCAAGAACTTACAACTTTGAAAAAAACGACGGATTTGATTACCCATGAAAACGCATCACAACACGTGAATTAGTGTTCCATTTACCCACAGTCAGCTGGCGCACGCGTGATAATAAAATAAATGCGATACTCACTATATGGGGCCGCCATCTTGAATGCGGCATAAAACTAAATTAGAGACAAGTTGTGAAACGAGTTTTTCAGATTCCTACAAATCAGGACAAAATGCCAATCTTTCACAGAAATACGATCCGTTGGAGTAATAAGCCAACCGATAACAAAATTCGGCCGAATTCGTCGTTTTTGTGTGGAAAAATCCCCTAAATAGGAACACCTAATTACACGAAGAACATAGAACACTAAGCCGGGGTATTTGAAACCGAAATTGTCATTTAACTGTAAGGCCATCGCTGATTGGCTGTTGAGCTGGAATGACAATTTTTGACGAAAGATTGGCATTTTTGAAGTAATTGTCTCATTGTCTACGTCCATAATGCGCACACATGCCCTCATGCGACACAGCAACTGCGACTGCCCACATATTAGTATTCAAAATGAGGCGCTTGCTGATTGAACCATATTGAAATATTAACTAAACCTAACTATGGTGTCCCAATACCATATCCGGATTGGTCAATTTCATTTCTAACATACATTTTTATTTATAAATTATTTATAGATTGTATACAGAGTTTGCATTAACCCCATATTTTGCTTCCCGGACTCCAATTATTGAAGAGGGACCCCGTTTTTCAGGCAAGCTGGGGTCCAATCTCTAATAAAGTTATCCTAGGTCAAAATTTAAATTTCTTAAAATTGTATAGGTGGGACTCACCAAAGCTTTATGGCATTCGCAGTCCTCACTATAAATATTTATGTCAACGGCAGTTGAATCCAATTAGCCAAACAACGAGCACAGTAGGCAATGACGTCATTTGAAAACGTTCAAATGTCATTCAGATGGCCAATAGAAACATCTCGTTTCAGTTTATATGTATAAAATGAAAGATACCAACTTACAGCGGAAGTCCTAATTGAAGGTTGAGTCTCGTGTGACAGTACATTCGCCGATCCGTGATGGCCTATCATACTGTAATTCTGTCTCTGAAAAAAAAATGGTTTTAGTCAGGACTAATTTTATTTTTTTTAAACATTTGCGTTTATTTGGTAATCATAATTTAGTATAGTAATGACTATCGGGCAACAACATTCAATTCAACAGCCCTGTAACGTTACACATAACCGACGTCATAATTATGCAGCTTATCGCTCGATTGGACACGGTATTGAAAACCGTATAGGCAAAAGTCAATACATACCCCACAAGATTCTGTGCCCTCATCACGGTCTACAGCAAGACGCTGGCGTTCTTCTTTACTTGGTCTTTCGATGCTTCCACCTAAATTGGTTTCCTGTGCAAATGAATAAACCCAAAGTTGCCTGTTTAACGTTACACAGTATTAAAGCGGAGGGTTGTCAACTGTGCACGCGCGGGAATCGAGTACCAAGCGACGATAACACACGCTAAAAACGCAAAGGCTAATGGGTAGACGCTTGTTTGTAAACAATGACACGCTATGGCCATCTGACGCATGCGCAGGTGACGACTCCCCCGCTTTAATACTAATCAGTTTCTCAGAAATATATTCGAATCAGTGGGTTATCGTTAAAAATGAAATAAACAGAAACAGACAATAAATAAACACCCACACTAAATACAAGTCGATGAGAAGAACATTGGTATTTCAACTCAAATATAAATAGTCCAGTGGCGTGTTACTGAATTTATCTCACTGGACAAAATTGAACGACAAAGAAAAATCTGGAGGCTTTAACTACATGTCTTGATAATTGTTTCATTCAATTATAAACACGAAAAAGGTGCATTACCCAGTATGGGGAATATCGTATGACGTCCACTGCCTTGCAACTACCGTCTCTCGCTCGCGTGCTCTTTCCTGACGAGGTTCTCCTTACTGCTTTTATTGCAGCACCCTCACCAACGTACATGTCGTGCATAGTGATATTGGCTTCACGCCTTCGTGCGTTTGTAAAACAACAACACGCTTTCTCCCACGAACAGCAAGCCATTATACAAAGTATCACCACAAGTACTGCAGCAACTACACTCACGGCGATGGCTATAATCATATACTTGTCTGAAATGGTACAAAACAATCACAATATTGCGAATTATCTAAGGAAAATACAGCAACGATGTAGCAATAAAGTATAAAGTCACAGCACCACAGTTTTAACGTAGAACAATTATTAATTAAGGCGTGGTGGAGGTGTTCTTCCTCGGTGTAAATGCGTGTCTCGTATTGCAGTGATTCAGCTTAATGGACTGACAATTAGAAAAAAAAGACAATTTTCACAGGAAATAATCCTGGAAAAATATCTTGCAGAGATGAATAACAAACAAATGAAGGGCGAGCATGTGTGTACATTTGGCACATGCATTATTTATTTCATTCTCTAATTATAAATGTATTGCCCTGCGTGTGTATATGTATATACTTGTATACATTGAACCGGTCAATAAATTTACTATTACATTTTAACATACAACCCATCATAACGTATATATCAAGTAGAATATGCAGACACAATTAATACCTTTATCGTCAGTGATCAATACTTCGCACTGAATTCCATTATACTGTTCTGTACACCTACAAAAACAATGCACAAAATTATAATACTACACAGTGTAATTTGCATACTTGTTTTCATCTTCTGATTGGCTACAAAGATGAAATGCTGAATTGTTATAGTTACGAATACATAGTTATAAAAATGACCACGCCCATATTTTAGAAACTGTGCCCACTTTTGCGAAACTACGCCCAAATTGAAACTCTGTTCGAATAAAAGTTAACCAAACTTCAAGTTACGGGCAGATAATTTTTTTTGTTTTGTTTAGCATTGTTTATCATATACCTCGTATTGCCCGGCTTCGTAACGCTATGGGAATCCCGATGCGCGAGCCGTGCAATAATTCTCCATATCACGCCCGGGCCCCGTTTACCATATTTGGAAAACTTGTCTATTTCCTGGAACTACTTTCTGTTTACAAACAACGCGCGTAATTTG